GGGGGGGGGGGAGCGGAGAGGGGTCTTTCGCCCTCCCCCTTTCCCCAAGGGCTTAGGTAGAAGTTATTTTACTGTAGAAAAGTCTACTTGAAGCCCCTTGTCACCTCCCCCTCCAGGAGTTTTTGAGGGGTGTGGTGAGGCGACCGAAGGGGGAAGGAACTAGCGGACCATTGACTGTAGTCACGAGCAGGGGAGGGGAAGTGCGAGGAGACGTTCGAGGGAGGGGAGGGTAGTGCGGCGAGTAAGGGGTGTGTTGTGGAGGAGGAACTGCTTTGTTGATTCCTCAGGTTGCTTTGCCCCACAACAAATAATTAATTGTATTACTGGTTCGTGTCCTCAAGTATTCAGTGTGTACTAGTTGGGTAATTTTAATGCCAGCAAATACTGCTAAATTTCCTCGAACTTGGTTGGCTTGTAGACAGCGTGAATACCAGGCGTCGATTTTTGGGTCAGCCAACGTCGTTCCGCAGACCCGCTCGTCGTATCATCTGTTACCTCAAACTTGGGTATTATAACCTTTATCGTACATAGACAATAGGCGCGAATGAACATCGAATATACGTGGATGTAAAATGCACTGAAGAATACAAGAAAAGATGAGCAACGCCTCGTCGCTTCATCGTCCGTAGTTGTTGTCTGTCCGTCGTCCCGTCTGCCACCCGTCGTCGTCGAAAATAATTGGAATGATAATAAAAAGGGGTTATTTCAGTATGCGTTGTCGGAACATCTGGACGTTGTTGATCCGGCAGTTTCCACTGTTGAAAGTGAAGAGCAGAAGGAGGACAATGCCGCGCGGAAGGAATTGAAGCATAAAAAAACGTAAACATCCAGATGTTTATCAAAAAAGAAGATAGCTGGAAAAATACAAATTTTATACAATTTATTGCAAATCGAGATTTAGCAATCTCGACAGGGTGGGTTGAAAGCTACGCGAGGAGAGGGGGGAGGGGGACGTAGTGACGAAGGAAGAAGGTGAGGTGAAAATTCGCCCCCCCCCCCTCCCCCCGCCCTCGCCCTCAGGAGACCGCCCTAGATCCGCCTATGTACGAGCACATGAAAGCTTTGGTGGGAAAATTGTTGACTCGGAAAACGGAAAATTTGGAAGGCTGAAATGTCAAAAGAATATTTTTCATTTGCGCACAACTTAAAAATGTCGAATTCTCTCCTCACGTATGTTTGATTCTCATGTGCGGGCGCGTGAAAATTTTGGCAGAAAAATTACTCGCTAAACAACGATTGTCAAAGAATGACCGTTCAACAAAAATTGTTTATTTGCTACTTTGAAAGATTAGCGATGATTTTTGCTAATGAGTACGCAAGTTAATGTAAGGCAT